GACAATTGGATTGATTCTATTTTTAAACGTTGGAACATCTACATAACGTATATTACTATAAACGAAATTAATATATAGTCTATATAGGTCCTTACATTGCCATGTATTATATATACAGATATAGTCGCGCATTTAAACAGTTGATAAAAGTCTGTAATTATTCCCCTTATATTTTCACGGCTTGTGCGAGAATTATTTGCCTATCAAATTTTTATTCCTTTAAATTTAATAATCTAGACTATAGCTACATCAGCACATGATAGATAGATGGATTTTTCTCAATTGAATTACTTAGATGCATGGATCTAAATTATAGTTTAAACATTAAATTAGGATATTTTTTTTCTTGACGTGCATGAAACTGATATAATGTTTAATATAATAATGTTGAAGTAAATTTAACTTTTTGGCCTTCCGCACGTACGATTCATGCACTTTTTGCTTGTACATATAGCTTTAGTTTGTCTTAATAATTTATCATATATTTAGGCTATTACTTTTTCGTACGTGTAGAATGTTGCAGTTTGCAAAAATTAGATTTCAAGTGGCCAGCTATTTTACGCATATAGGTTTTAAGGCGTTTAATTTAGTTTAATTGTCTTTTTCAAGGTAATATATTTCCCGCTAGCAGAAAAATTAACGGATCTCACTTCGTTTTAATTATAAACATTTTATAAACGAGCGCGATAATATATGTTGCCAAGCGTCTCGTAATTTGTTATTCAGCATTTCAACCAATAGCAGGGAAAAGCATTTTCTATTAAACATTAATGCTGGAAAAGCACACTAAGAATGCCCAGTTGAAGCGCTCACAATAATTTAGAGAGTTTTATCTCGAGGAGAAGAAATATCTGTTCCTGAATCTTGTTTTTCAAATATCTTTGCTATAGGTCCTAATTTTCATGTGAAGTTGGATATCACTCAGATTGCTGATAACAGACGTGTTTAACGTACTGTAAAATATCACAGAGCCAATGAAGTGGCCAACGCTCGTTCAGTTGGAAGCTTTTGCAATATTTTTACTAATTTTACCAGCGTTCTTGGTTTCAGCTGCCAAATTCAGTGCAGGTAAGATGTTTTGTTATAAGCAGTAAAAATGTTTTTGAAATAGTAGTATAACTTTTGGTTTCGCCATCGCCGTGCCACCTGCCTACATAGCAACAAGACTAGGGCAGAAAGTCAACAAAAAGAAAATATTAAATGCCTGCGCTTTTGTTAAGGCATTTTTAACCGAAGGTATTTAACTTGAGTTGCAAAATATATATATGGCATTGCCTTCGGTCATTGTCTCATCTCGTAAGAGTTCTCTTGTATAGCATCCATCTAAAAAATGTTGTAATGAGCATGTTGGAGATAATTTAAAGGTCTATGGAGTTTTCTTTTCATGATGGAAACCTAATTGTTTTCCTCACTTGATATTTTTAATTGAGAATTGTCCGAGATGTCTATCGCAGTTTCAAAAATGCGTCTTTATACATGCAAGGTGGAAATGTAGACTATATACAGATGCAATTATTTGACTATATATATACAGTATACTTTTTTTAATATCTTCCATGACTACAGTAAAGTGTTTGCCTTCACATATAATGAAAAATTTATACATTCGACATATTTCTCGTTATCGAATTTCGTTAAACTTTTTGCTCTTTGTGATTGACGATAAGTTATCAAAAACTAAGTACATTCCATATCATGCAAAGTGCCAAAGGCAAAGAAGAAAATTATCGTGCTTATATCTATATATAGTCGTGCAAAATTTGGAATTGATGAAAAGTGAGACGAAATTTTCATATTGATAAATGTAGGCAAATAAAAGCTGGATGAAAGCATTAGCGTGTTTGTATAAAGTATTTGTCATAATTTTTAAAATCGTTCGTTTTTATTTCTATTTGTAATTGCGCTGTTTTAATTTGACACTTACTGCCTGTTCTTCAACAATACAAGTATAGTGCATGTATTTAAAGTATATCTTTACATACTGTAGTTGCTTTCTTTCTGAATTTTTGTTCGTCTGATCCAAGATTTTTAAGACAATAATTTTGAGATTAAATTTTGTCTTGCCTTTCGGTCGATAATAACATTCATTTAGCTATTTTATGTCACCTGTGGTTACCTTCTGCGTATATAGTCGCGCGTATTGGATTGTCTCAATAGTTATAAACGAATTGATGTAAGCATAAAGATAGCGAAATTGCATGTATAAAATTACAGAGGATTAAGGTTCTTTTGATTAAAATATTCTTTTCTGCCTTTAAAATGCAAAGCCTCTACGCCAAACAAAGGTTGCATTGTTTCCTCTATTCCTACGCATTCGCTCGTTTTAAATTGTTCCATTTGATTGAATACTTTACTCCTTCGCGTTTCAATTTCCATATATACTTGGATAAGGCTGTAATTGACATGATGCGTATCTGTCGATGTTAAATGACTGCCTGTGATTATAGTAACGGGTCTTAATTCTTAAATTGTCCTTCTGTCATGACGATATATGTTTTTTTCTTCTTGGTTCATTTTTTGTCACTGTGGCTTGGTAAACTAGGTTTTGCATTCATTACTCAGGGGACATTCCGATTCGAGAATTGCAGTTACTATAATTCTCCAGTTCTTCCGTATCTCTCAGGATTTTAGAGTTGTGCGTATTTATTATGTGTCTCAAATTTGGCATGCAACTACAACTGACTTTCACCGTCCCACGGTTAAATATTCTATATAGCGGATTGTCAATGGGAAAATGCTATCTATGAGGTGTAGGAACAACAGTCCTACTAAATAAACCACAGAATATTCCTAGCTCTGTGAAATCTCTTGCTTTAAAGGCATTGTTGTATAAAGGTGCTATCAAACTCCGCCTGATCGTGCGAAAGATCTGAAATTCGTCGACTAATAGATATTGGCGATTGCTTTAGGATGGGCGGCGGATAGATATTGGCGATCGCTTTAGGATGGGCGACGGATGAGCGGATTTTGCATTTATATACAAGGGTGGGTTTCCTGGCTTTCTATACGGGGATAGGATTGAGCCGAACGAGACAACAAGCGAGCCGTTGCAGAACCTAGAAAAACCCTTTTCAGGTATAAACGCGAACTGAGTGCTTCGAAGATGACTTATTAAAAATGGTAGAAGTTTTGGACAGCCCATCACGATTTCCAGAATACACTATATAGTTTAAGGAAGATATAAAGGATAAACGCGCGTAGCAAAGTCTCACGCAGATAAAAACAAGAAATATATGTCAGCTTGACAAAGTCAAAGAGCAGTAAGAAAACGTCTCAAGAAATCTAACAAAAAAGTACAAGAAATCGGACGAAGGCACATTGAATCAAATAAACACGGAGCTGAAAGCAAGCGCCGTGAGTATAAACGCCGATAGAATGGAAACTGTGACAAGGAAGCAAGTTTTCATTAATATGCTAAAGATCATAAAGAGAACTTTGAGAGCAATCCGTCATGTATAGACTGATAAATCCGGCAAAGGGTAAGATAGGACGTGTTATCTTAGAGAGCATTACAACACCGTCGGAGCGTGTCACCCACCATTCATCCTAAAGAAATTGCCAAAATCTATTAGTCGACGAATTTCAGATCTTTTGCACGATCAGGCGGAGTTTATTATACAACAATGCCTTGAAAGCAAGTGGTTTCAATGGACAATGAGACATTGAAGCATAACGAGCCAAAACAAAGAAAGAAGAGAAACAGAGCTAGGAATATTCTGTGCTTTAAACCCCCATTTAGTAGAACTGTGGAAACAAATGTAGGGCAACAGTTCCTATACACCTCATAGATAAACATTTTCCCATTGACAATCCATGACAAATATGAGACACGTAATTCAATAAAATCCTCAGAGACACGGAAGAACTCGATAATGATAGTAACTGCAATTGTCGAATCGGATTGTCCTCTTGGTAACGAATGCTCAACACAAACCTTATAATAAGTTCTTTGTAGGTTCGCACGGCGATAACATACAATACTATTGTTTGTGGAAACACCACGTAAATTTATTACTGCAGTAGTAAATTTACGTGGTGTTTCCACAAACAATAGTATTATACAAACCCTATAGTTTGCCAAGCCACAGTGACCCCAGAGAACCAAGAATTAAAAACGAAAAACTTATATCCAGATGAAGACTTGGGAACAAATTTTATGAATTTAATTTTAATCCTCCGTAATTTTATGCATCTAATTTAGGCTTATAAGTGACAACAATTTGTTCATAACTATTGAGACAATCCGTTGATGATCGCCAGCTGGGTTGAGTGTGAAACTCGAGTTGACGAGTAACCGCTTCTTTTAGTTTTTAACTTTGTACATATTTTAAATGCGACTCTCTGGACCAAAAAAAGCCCTGGTGTAACAAAGTTTAGCATGAAAACGAGGCTCGCGTGCCTGAAGCCTGTTTCATACGTCGCACTATCGTCGAATTTAATTCAGACGAATTTAATTGAACGAATTAAATGCGACGGTAGTGCATCGTATGAAATAAATTAAGTTCGTCTTATAATTAAATTCGTCCAAGACGTTTTATCCGTCACTATCAGACGGATACAACGTCTGTAGCGCGTCTTCGTTTCATACGACGTCTTATCGTCATGTCGAATTAAATGCATAAATTATGTTCAAGTATGTTTCTCTCTTTCTGGTCTCGTGGTTTTTATTTCTGGGTAATCCATGATCGCTAAACATGAAATGAATTCGTCTGAATTAAATTCGTCGTTTGAAACGAAACCATTTTAGTGTCGACCAATTGACGAATTTAGCAATGAATTAAATTCGTCTGAATTAAATTCGACGTATGAAACAGGCCTGACCCGTGAATTTTATCAAACCGGTACATGATTGATTGCATGAATTACCGAATCTTGTTTTTCTGATAAAGAAACTGTTTATTTGTTTTGTTTGATACCGTAAACATACCGTAAACCCCCGACTATAAGCCCTGGGCTTATATTCTATCGTAAGCGATTTTTGATGGGCTTATACAAGGGAGGGCTTATATACGGGGGGGGGGGGGGCTTATACATGGACGATCTTTTGTGTTAGTGTAATAGTGATAAACAAGTATAGTAATAGTGATAAACAAGTGTTAAACAAGCATACTGTAGTAGTAATAGTGATAAATAGTGGTAATAGTGATAAACAATAGTGATAAACAAGTGGGCTTATATTCGCGTGGGCTTATATTCGGGAGAGGGGGCTTATATTTGGAATGAGGTGAGCGTTAGTACATGTGGTGGGCTTATACACGGGGGGTTATATTCGGGGGGGGGCTTATATTCGGAGGTTTACGGTATCGACTCGTACACTATTATTTAGTTTGCGCGGGGTCAAATATCTTAAAATGCGGATGTTTTGTGACTTTTGTCGAGTCGACTTGTCGCTCTTGCATTGCGCCAAATAGATTTAAGAATTGTCCATTGACTTGTTCGCGCGAACAATAAAAATGTAGGAACTGATCCAAAATTTTCGCGACGAATTTTTTCGCCAAGATTGGTTTTTCGCTTCGTGCGAACAAATTCGCGTAATGGAAAATGGGCTTAAGTGACTGCCAAAAGCAATTAACGCGCATAACAATTAAAAAAACACTGCATTCAGTGAGGAGTTAGGAAAAACCTGTGCGCATTTATAGTTACATTCAGAGGTAGTTAATATTTCATCTTTTTTCCAACATGTAAAACTGGGTATGTTTTTAACGACAATTTCAACTGGTATATAGTAAGACATGATTCTTTGCTCAAAGGCAAAAGTGAAGACTTTTGTACCTCCTCTAGCCTATATACTGAATAAATAATTTATTTCGTAATGTAGAAAATTTTAAACGACGTGCTAAAAACAATAATGCTGAAGAACACATGCTGGAACTCACACTGGAAGTGTTAAATCATTGATAACTCGTGCCATATTGTTTAAACCTATACAAAACAAAATGCGTTTCTGTATGATTGTTAAAGCAAACTCGTGTATTAATCGCGAAAACTTTGTCGATTACGTACGACAGCTGAAAATTTAACTAAGTTTCACTGGATTTTAATTTTCGCTTGCAAAATTTGGCCACGCTTCGACCCCCAATGGGAAATTGAATTCGCAATGACTGTTACTTCTTTTGATGGCAAAAGCACTCGAACACAAAATACAGAAAAAATTAAGAATGTGCACACGGCACTAGAGGTTTTGCGCAAACAGAACGTGTCTGATGTTTATACTTGCATGTAGACATTCGCTAATGCTTTTATAATATAATTGACAACTTGCCATTCACACTCACTGGAAAGCTCTTTCACAGGGAAATTTAATCAATATTAATGTGGGCCAATGTGAAACGCCAACAATTATATTCTACCTTGAACATGATCGATAAAAAGCTATAGGTATGTGCATAGCCATAGGAAATAAAAGTTATACGACATGTGTTGCTCTACTTGACATGCATGCACCTGCTACTGAGCTACTGCAGGTAGCACTAATGTTAATGCATGCATGACAGTCGATAAGGCACAACATTATTTACCAAGAGCAGCTGCTCCTAAAACTGTGACTTTCAGGCCCCGATCTATAGGTCTACAATTGTTTATAAATTTTCGTTCCATCTTCAAATATCCCATCAACAATCAGTTATCGAACGAGATGCCCAAAAATCTTGAAATTCGAAAGTTACCCTGGACTCTTGACTGCTACAATTCTCTGCAGCTTATATCTTACGAAGTGTTCTTACACGTCTATATACGTACATCTTAAATACTAGTTTCACTCGTAGCATCCTTCTTTCTTACTGCTCAAATAAAGGGGCCTACTCCGGGACCAAAAGTTGCCTAAAGTAGCCCTAAGCTGCGACGACCCGGAGTTGCAATTTTGAGCAATGTGCTAGGGTGCATGAAATTTTCGATTTAGAAACCCCTATATTAGTTTCAAATTTCATTCCTTAACTACCTTGTGATGAAATTAATAGATTTCCGAAACGAAAATATTTTAAATACGATAGGGCAAAGCTGTGGAGGATTTGGAATATTTTTCAGTTACGTGCGAATGAACACACACAAATTAGTTTCAAAATACATTTATTTCGTCAAGTTTTTATGAAGTTAATAAGGTTTGCTTCTAAGAGTATATCATTTACGTTTCTTTTTTCTCTTTAAAAAGTTGTCATATTCTTCTCTGTCTCCAGGGGATAATCTTGCAATATCTTCTGGGTTCATTGGAATATATTTTTGTCTCTCGCGCTCTGCGCTCGTAACATTTTCGTTGTTCAGGTGTGATCATTGCTGAATCTGTAGGCCTCCAGTCTGTCGAATCTACCCAAATGTGAAAAGGGTTAATTAAGTGTGAGCTTAGACGGGGTTGTTTCTGTTGGTGATAGTGTAAGAAAGTTAGAAGCAGGCACTGGTGGTGTTATCTCGGCAGGCCAACTGCTCAACAGGGGCTAGTGGAATGATGAGGTGGAAATCCATCTTATTTTTGACGGTCAGAAACCGATATAGCTGATCAGGATAAATCTCTTGCATTCGCTGTTCAGCATCATACATTGCATTTATACAAGTAGGGGTTGATGATAAGCCTGTTTGCGCAGGCAGTATATTCGCCTTAGTCGTTGTTGATCGTCTGTTGTTGGCTTTAAACCCAACATCAAATACCAATGAGTCGCCATAAACTATTGCACTCTGCCGGGATTTATTTGTCTGGCAAGCACAGAAATTCGATGTTTATCTCTTGGTGACTTGAACAGCACGATATAATGGGCGTTAAGGTTGACATTTGTCATCTCTGCGTAAAAAGCAGCCCCGTATTGAGCAAGTTTGTCCAGAAGAATTGCGTGATCCATAGAATCGAAATCTTTTTTTAAGTCGATAAAAACTACACCATTGAGCAGTCCATAGTCGATATTTATCGACCACCTATTTGTTGTTTCGAGCAGTGCAGTGACCGTACTGTGCATTGTTCGAAACCCAGACTGACATTTAGTCAGTGATTTATTGCACGTTAAATAGTAATCAAATTGATCGTGAATAATAATTTTGCAACGACTGAAATAATTGAGATTGGACGATAATTGTTGAGGTCATGTTTAGCACCATCTTTATGGATAGGTCTAACATTGGCAATTTTCCATTCTTTTGGGTATACAGCTATTTCAATTAAGGTTGTCCCCCGAGCAAAGCGGAAAAGTCGAATACGAGCGCGAAAGGCTGCTGGGATTCCCTAATAAATGAATGAATATATTAGCGATTTATTAATGATCCAAACATTGTTGTGAAGTCTAGTGGTCGTGTCACGAGACACAATTCAACTAAACGTATTTTAACTAACGTTGCTAGAGTAAACACTTTAACTTTTCAAAATAGCTATTTTAATAGAGCTCCTAGAACATATAATTGCTTGCCATCTTATATCCGTGACGCTGACGTCACAATTGGCAAATTCAAATCATACTTGTTGAAATATCACGAAATGACTGAACATATATGACATTAATGTACCACATTCCTTTAAAACTGTCTGTGTTAAATGTCACTCGTGTCGTCCTTTGTCGAGCCTTGTAGATAAAATGTGTTGTAATTGAAGTAAATGTTTAGTTTAAGGGACCCTGTGAATGGGGCAATAAGCCCTGTAGGGATCACCAGTCATTTATGACAAAGCTAGTAAATAAATAAATAAAATAAATAAAATAAATAGCTGTATACTAGTGCAAAGTGATTTGTTAAATATATGCGTCAGGGAAGGGGATACGTACAACATCCCTAGCTAGCTTTAATAATTTGCATGGAATGTTGTCGGGACCACTAGATTTTTTTGTGTTTATTCTTCCAAGCAAATCTTTAACATAGTTTACCTCAATTGTCTTGAAGGAAACACACTATTTGTAGAGTTAATATAAGATTTGTCAAAGGCTGCAGGATGGGTAGGTGAAATGGAAGCAGGCTCACAAATGGCAATATCCTAAGTACTAATATACTTAGATATATTTCTGGCTAATATGCTAGTTCCTTTTCGGTTTAAATGTAGTCCTCTAGAGTTCAGGCAAGTTGAGTTGAAAGACTCGTGATGTAGGAATGCCCAGTTCTATTCAATACAAAATGCTTTTATTAATCCGTTTGCCTGATTCACTTTGGACATCAAATTTGGTTTAACGGTTCTCGGAAGTATCCCAGAGATCAGTATGTCTGTTGTAGGCGAGTCTTGAGTAATTTGTATGCCTAGATTTAATACTCCCTCTGCTACCGTTTGGGCAGTTTGATAGTTTATATCGTTCGTACCTATATGTAAAACTATTTTGTTCGGTTCCTTTCGGAGCACTGGTCTTAAATAGTCTTCCATATCAGAAGTTGTAGGTCCTGAGAAACTCTTGACTACCACATGGTTACTCGTGTTCGAGAGACGCCATCCTTCTACATGCTTCAATATAGAATCTCCAGCAACTACCGTGACTTTTTTGCTTGGAGATTGACTGCTTTTAGGTGAACTAGTTGTATTTTTATTTACATTACTCACCTCGTTTATCGGTTGAGAGGTTTGAGTGGTTTTAGAAAGTGAATCAGTTATACACCGTTGTTCGTCTTTGCTTTGCTTCTCGGACGTCTTAGATTTCTTATTCGATTTTTTTGACTTGTGTTTTCGCTTCAGTGTATCTTGGTTGCTGATATTTACGTTGTCAGTTGGTAGGGCATTTACAGAGCCTGGTTCAATAATATCATGGAAGGAAGGAAGATACAGATAAGAAAGATAAGGATAAGGTAGATAAAGATAAGGAAGATAAAGATAAGGAAGATAAGGTTAAGGAAGATAAGGATAAGGAAGATAAGGATACGGAAGATAAGGATACGGAAGATAAGGAAGATAAGGATAAGGAAGATAACGATAAGGAAGATGCAAATAAGGAAGACACACATAAGGAAGATACAGATAAGGAAGATACAGATAAGGAAGATACAGATAAGGAAGATACAGATAAGGAAGATAAAGATGACTGTTTTGGAATGTTGACGTTTAAATTTCAATAAGTCCTACCCCATTAGGATAGGTAAAAAGGACTGGACACGAACGGTCGCACTGAGAAAAAGAGCATGGTCAGGCTTCTTTTGTAATGTTTGTATTCTAAAAATACAGTGTTTAAAAAGGTTGTTTATTGACGTTAAAACCACGCAAAGAATCCAAAATAGTGAAAAGTAGATCCATTCTTTATTCGACAAATTCTATACGAGAACAAGTGGTCCTTCAACGAGCCGGATCTGGCAAAATTACGGGTTTATTTGTGTGGTTATTGCGACCTCGACGAATTTGAAGCGATATGGCTGACCAAAACGGCGTAAAACCTCCGAGTTTACCGGAAATTAATGACGAAACAACCAAGCAAGGCATCGACGAAGTAAAGAGCCAAGTAAGTACGAAGAGTACACGGTATTTAAAGCTTAAAAATAGGAAGAAAGCTGCAAAAGCTAGACTGACAAAAGCACGAAATCAAGCAGCCATGTTGACCACAGACACCCAAGTACCAAGACCGAAATTAGACGTGCTATAAAGAAAGTAAAGGCTGAGAGTGCTATAATTGAAAAGATTATTTATGCTTTGAAAGAAACTGTTGTTTTAAGTGATGAGGCGTTAGAAGGAACAGACGTAGACACTGTAATAGAAAATTTAGACAAAGAATTATGTGACATTATGGACTTAGTTGACACTACTATAAAATATGCCAATGACCACATTAAGGAACGACTTGTCAATGGTGAAGATGAATCGGAAGTATCCACAATCGCGTCAAGTAAAATAGCTGTAAATTCAATGGCAACAAAGTCATCCCATGCAAAGTCATCCCATGCAAAGTTATCCCATGTAACCCCCCCTAAGTCGGTAGAAAAATCTGTTGTTGAGACACAGCAACAAGAAGTGAAAGATGCGAATGATAGGCTAAAGCAGCTTGAAAAAGATCAGCAAGCATTAGAGCAAGAACTACAGAAAAAATGTGAGACTTTTGAACTCAATAAAGAAAGAATAAAGGATGCACGTTCGATAGTATTTTTGAATGAAGCACGAGCTAAAGCCACTGAACGGTTAGGCAAAGTGACTGAAGATGTTACTGTATTACCTGTAAAAAATAATCAGAATTCGCCTGAGAACATGACACCACCCCAAGCATTTCCCTTTGGATTGCCGCCAACCTCTACACATGTCAAACTGAAAGGTGTAGAGTTGCCAACATTCTCCGGTGAGAATAAAACTGAATTTGAAGCTTGGAATGCTGCATTTACATCAGTTGTGGATGATACAGATATGCCTGTGAAAGAAAAGATGCTGAGACTGCAGAATTGCTTGCGTGGAAAAGCATTGGAGACTGTACGAGACCTTGGCTATTCAAGTTATGCATATGAAAAGGCAAAGGAGAAATTAGAACGAAAGTATGGTGGAAAACGTCGACAGATCCTTACTCATTTGGCAACCCTTCGAGGACTATCAAAAGTACGGCGTTATAATGTGGAAGACATGGAAGAATTACTGGCAATCCTCGATCGAATACTGGTTGCACTGCAAGATGGTGACGAAAATGGAGAACTAAGGGGACAACATCTTGGTCTTACGGTAAAAGAGAAGTTTCCAGAAGAGTATGTCCGAGAACACAAGTATTGGTTACATGAGCAGGGAGAGTATGACACATTTGAAAAACTGGTTGAAAGGATCGACACCAGAGTTCGGATAATGGATGAAGCGCGAGAGGAGACAGGAGAATTTGATAAACGACGAAATCCAAAGGACGGAGAAAGGCGTCATAATCGAGGATACAACACAAGTAGTAATGTTCGACAATGTGTGGTAACAAAATGTAAGATTGATCACCCGCCATGGGTTTGCCAAGAGTTCAAGAAACTTCCAGTTGCACAGCGCAAGGAACTAATTAGCAAAAGTGGACGCTGTTTCCGATGTCTTGCTGCAGGTCACCACAGTAGAAGTTGTCCACGCAATCGAAAATGTGGAGTCGACGGATGCGAGAGTTCTGAGCATAGTAGTAAAACACTGACTACCGGAACACCGGAACACCACCGGAACACCACCGGAACACCACCTAACCCGAACCGCCAACCCTAACCCCAAACCCTAACCCCAAACAAAATGGTGGTGTTCCGGTGTTGTTCCGGTGTTCCGGTAGTCAGTGTTTTACTACATGCCGTAGCTACCTACATGATCCTGGTCGGAAGAATGCAAGGAATGATACAGCATCGAGGAACCAAGAATCAGCACTACTGCCAATACATACAACAATGCTCGAGTCGAACAGATCTCCCTGATGGTTCTACCAGCTATTATTGGAAGTGGAGCAAAGAAATTAAAAGTCAATGTTATGCTGGATCCCTGCTCGACCGGGTCGTACATAACCGAGAGTGCTGCTGAAGAGCTTCAGTTGAAAGGTGAGAGACAAAACTTGACTATTTCGGGAACTGGTGGTACAGAGATCAAAAAGCAATCAAGACGTGTCCATTGTTCAGTGTCTTCCATGAATGGGTCATTTTCAGCACCTGTTGAAGCTCTGAATGTTCTTGATAACATTACTGGAAACACACCAGCTATTGAATGGAGTGCCTTAAAGAATGACTGGCCACACTTAACTTCAATTCCTTTTAACAGAGTGTCCAATCGAAGACAAATTGACATTTTAATTGGTAGTGACCATCCAGTTTTCCACAAAGTGTTACGAGAAGTTACTGGAAGACAGCCGAAAGACCCTGTAGCACGACAAACCCTGCTTGGGTGGGTTTGCTTCGGTCCCACCTGCAAGAATCCTTCACTTCGTAATACCCATGCACACATGACCCGTACCTACCACATCGGCCAAACCAACATGGATGAAACAAATGATCTTTTAAGAAAGTTCTGGGAATTGGAAGCCATTGGAATCAATGAGGAGAGCACCCGTGTTATGACCCCTGATGAAATAAGAGCAATGGAAACGGCACAGTCAACCCAAATATTGAAGGACGGTAGATATGAGATTAGAATACCATGGAAAGAAGGAGAACCTGACTTTAGGAACAATTTTGATATGGCCTTCTCACGACTGAAGAATCTCGAAACATCACTCCTCAAGAAACCCGAAGTTGCGAATTCCTATTGCGAGATAATTAAAAACTATGTGGATAAAGAGTATGTGAAAAAAGTACCGATGACAGAGGAAGAACAGTGGCTCCTGCCTCACTTTGCAGTGGTAAATAATGCGAAGACCTCAACCAAAGTTAGAATTGTTTTTGATGCTGCAGCCAAACTTGAGGGCAAGAACTTAAACGACGCCATCTATTCTGGACCCAAGTTACAACGGGAGCTTGTGGATGTCTTGACTCGATTTCGAAGAGCGCCTATAGCCCTATCAGCTGATATCTCACAAATGTTTTTGCAAGTCGGACTCGCCGAGAAAGACCGTCCTTATCATCGATTTCTATGGCGAGAACTGGACAAGGCCAACGAACCCGAGATCTACGAGTTCATGCGATTGCCCTTTGGTAATACTGCCTCCCCCTTCTGTGCGCAGCATGTCTTGCATTCTCATGCAGAGACTAGTAAAGAGCTTTATCCTGAAGCAGCAGACACTGTAGACAATGCCATGTACGTAGATGACGTGCTGGACTCGTGCGAAACAATACCTGAGGCCAAAGACCTTCGAAGACAAACAACAGAACTTTTGTCTGGAGCCGGGTTCACTCTTAAAAAGTGGATGTCCAACGAAGTTGACGTTATTGAGGATGTTCCTGCGGACGATCGGTTGCCCGGTTTAGAAATTCATAAAGATATCCTCCCCACCATAAAGACCTTGGGAGTTTCATGGCAGGCAAACCAAGACATCTTCACATTCCAAGTAAAACCTCCACCCTCGTCAGAATTGCCAACGAAAAGAAATGTGCTTAGTAGTATCGCAAGATTGTTTGACCCGTTGCAGTTTTTGGCACCCTTTACTATTCGAGCAAAAATCTTACTACAAAAGATCTGGACCGCTGGTATCGAATGGGACGAACAGCTAATCCGTCTGAGTCGCGAAATATGTCGACGCCCAAACGTTTTGGTTACGAAAAGCCCAACTCGAAAGCTTTCCCGACAAAGGAAAGGACAAAAGTCTACTGAGATTTTCCCCATTGGTGGGCAAAGACGGACTATTGAGAGTCGATGGTCGACTCCGACTTGCTGAAGACTTGCCCTATGATACGAGACATCCAATCATTCTTCCAAAAGACCATCCTGTAACAAGACTAACCGTTGTTCACGCTCATGAGAAACTTGGGCACGGCACCGGAACAGAACATCTGTTGACGGAACTTCGATCGAAATTTTGGATCGTGAAAGGACGATTGACAGTTAGAACTGTGATTCGAAGTTGCCCTGAGTGCCGACGGCGATTCCTCGCAAAACCAGCAGGACAAAAGATGGCTCCTCTCCCAACTTCGAGATTGACTTTACCTTTAAGAGCCTTCGAAAGGATCGGTACAGATTTCGCTGGACCATTCCTAACCAAACAAGGACGAGGAAAATCTCGAATGAAACGGTATCTTTGTCTCTTTACATGTCTAGCGATCCGTGCGGTCCACTTAGAGATGGCTTACTCATTGGACACGGACCCATTCATAAACGCGTTCGTACGAATGACTTCACGGAGGGGACGCCTACATACGTTCTATCGGATGAACAAATTTTGTCGGAGCGGAAAAGGAGATGTGTCAAAAGATACGCGAATTCGATCAGGAGAAAATAGTAAAGACGACAACTCAACATCGACAAATCGAGTGGAAATTCAACCCGCCTTCCGCCCCTCACTTTGGAGGAGTTTTCGAGTGCGAAGAAGGCCATCAGAGCAATCCTAGGAGAAGCCGAAATTACAGACGAAGAGTTACTTACACACAGCAATTTGTGGCGCGGAAGGGCTCCTAAACTCGAGACCGATCACCTATGTCAGCTCAAGTCCTGATGACTTGGTTCCACTTACTCCTAGTCATTTCCTGGTGGGACATTTAGGTGGACAGTTCGCCCCAGAAACCAGTCCAGAAGAAGTATTCAACCCAAAAAAGCGTTGACGACGTATTCAACAATTGATCACGCAGTTCTGGAAAAGATGGCGTAAAGAGTTCTTACCTAGCCTCAACGTAAGAGGAAAGTGGTTTAATCCTAAGCGAGAGTTAACTGCAGGTGATGTTGTCCTATTAGTCGAGCCGAACGCAAAGCGTGGCGAGTGACCGCTTGGTCGCGTCATTGAAACATATCGAGGCGGTGATGGACTCATAAGAGTGGTAAAGATTCGAGTTGGAGACAACGAGTATATCCGACCTGTACACAGATTGTGCCCGTTAGAGAGAAACAGTGATTAAAAGAACAATGAAGAAGAAACTTCATAAACTTTATAACTTTAACTTTAGTTTTCGAATGTAGTCACATTCGGGAGGGGGATGTTTTGGAATGTTGACATTGTTTAAATTTAAATAAGTCCTACCCCCCTCCCCTCGATTAGGATAGGTAAAAAGGACTGGACACGAACGGTCGCGCTGAGAAAAAGAGAGCATGGTCAGGCTTCTTTTGTAATGTTTGTGTTCTAAAAATACAGTGTTTAAAAAGGTTGTTTATTGACTTTAAAACCACGCAAAGAATCCAAAATAGTGAAAAGTAGATCCATTCTTTTATTCGACAAGTTCTATACGAGAACAATAACTAACATAAGGATAAGGATAAGGATAAGGATAGGGATAAGGATAAGGAAGATAAAGATAAGGAAGATACAGATAAGGAAGATACAGATAAGGAAGGTACAGATAAGGAAGATACAGATAAGGAAGTACAGATAAGGTAGATACAGATAAGGTAGATAAAGATAAGGTAGATAAAGATAAGGAAGATAAAGATAAGGAAGATAAGGAAGATAAGGATAAGGTAGATAAGGATAAGGAAGATCAAGATAAGGAAGATCAAGATAAGGAAGATTAAGATAAGGAAGATAAGGTTAAGGAAGATAAGGTTAAGGAAGATAAGGTTAAGGAAGATAAGGATAAGGATAAGGAAGGTAAAGATAAGGAAGATGCAAATAAGGAAGATGCAAATAAGGAAGATACAGATAAGGAAGATACAGATAAGGAAGATACAGATAAGGAAGATAAAGATAAGGAAGATACAGATAAAGATAAAGTTAAGGAAGATAAAGTTAAGGAAGATAAAGTCAAGGAAGATAAAGTTAAGGAAGTAAGGATAAGGAAGATAAAGATAAGGAAGATACAGATAAGGAAGATACAGATAAAGTTAAGGAAGATAAAGTTAAGGAAGATAAAGTTAAGGAAGATAAACTTAAGGAAGTAAGGATAAGGAAGATAAAGATAAGGAAGATACAGATAGGGAAGATAAAGATAAAGTTAAGGAAGATAAAGTTAAGGAAGATAAAGTTAAGGAAGTAAGGATAAAGAAGATACAGATAAGGAAGATACAGATAAGGAAGATACAGATAAGGAAGATACAGATAAAGAAGATACAGATAAGGAAGATACAGATAAGGAAGATACAGATAAGGAAAATAAAGATAAGATAGATTAGGATAAGGAAGATAAAGATAAGGAAAATAAAGATAAGGAAGACGCAGATAAGGTGAGAACGATAACGAAGATAAAGATAAGCAAGCTGATTCTGGAAAAGTACTGGATAGATGCATAAACGAATACACCAAATTATTAGATACAGCTAGACGTTCGTAGTGTGAACATGTTCTTTATGCGCAATATATGTGCCAAAATATTTACAACACGCGGTAACATTAAGCGTCATACCTTGAAATGTTCATAGCGAACCAGTCAAAATGGCAGCGTTCGGATCTACAGTTTTGCTACATAGTAAGACTGTACGGGTGAAATCTTTCCTGGAGAATGTCCAGAAAACTATAAGTCCACCTCCACAGCGAATCATCTGGTACTATGGTGATTTTGAGATGGTGAGAACGATGCCTGGAATTGAATTCAATGAAGGTATTCCTGAGGATAACAAGAAAAGCTGACCGTTTAGACGTATCTCAACGGAATTTGATCGTACTGGACGATCTCACAATCCGACAGAGACAAACGTGTTGCTGATCTTTTTTACGAAGGGAAGCTATCACCGAAATTTTTCCATCGTCTACATTGTCCAAAATATATTTTATCAGGGCAAAGAGATGAAAAATATCAGCCTTAACGCCAAGAGATAAACCAAGAGATAAACAGCAAATTTCTGTGCTTGCCTGAGAAATAAATCCCGCAGAGTGCAAGAGATTAATTAAAGAGATTAAATTTGCCGTATACATGTCTTATCTTTGCTTCGACTTTTCGAAGCGGGTTGTTGAAGGTCGAACTCTGCGTGTTTTTGTCTGTAAGTTTTCCCTCTCCTCCTGTCTTTAACTATGCTTTACTAGAATTGTATTGGTGTCGCATCCTGGATTTTTTTATCGACTTTATTATACCACAAACGTTCCTGCTTTGCAAGCTACTATGAAAGAAATACCAAATGGTTTTTCGATAGGCGACTTATGAAGATGTCACGAGCCGACCTCATGGTAGCTTGAGTATCAGGCCCTGTATTTTCTCCCTTAAAAATAGAGCCTGGTACGCAGGTACTGGGAATTTGATACTACTTCAGGTAAATGCAATGTATGATGCTAACAGCGAATGCAAAAGAACATGGAAGCACCACAACTTTGTAGCTAAATCGGTTTGTGACTTTCAAAAAATAAGATGGATTTTCCGGCTCGTCACCCCATTCCCGACATGATCGTTGCCCCTGTTTAGAGAACACCACTAGTGTCCAGTGAGCCTTCGTTATCTTTATCTTCCTTATTTTGCTTGTCAGGGTTCGTACGCCCCTGGGAATCCTTGAAAACCCTAGATTTTTATTTTAAACCCTTGAAAACCTTGGAATCAGGGGCGGCGGAACAGGGTGGGCTAGGGGGCTAAAGCCCCCCCAGAAGTAAAAGTGAAAAAAATTTGAATTTTTTGGAAAAATTTTGATAATTAGGGAAAAATTTAGGTTATTTTTTGAAAATTTAGGTATAAGGGGACAAATTTGCAATATTTTGTTTAAAAAAAGTGTATTTCCGAAAAAAAAATAATTATATAAGTCCGAAAAAAAATTTTTTCGTCCCTTTTTTTGTATATTGTACCCCTAAAGTGGTACACTGACCGAAATTTTTTGGCGACGGGGGGGGGGGAGGTCGCCGAAAAAATTTAGCCCCCCCAGAACGAAATCTGTTCCGCCGCCGCTGCTTGGAATTTCAAATTTATCCCTGGAAAACTGTGAAACTGAGCTGGGTGTAGGATCATACCTAAATTATTTAACACTATCTTAAAAAGAAAGATTGAACAAAAGTTTCTTGCATTATATATAGTCGCAGCTCACGCGACGGCGCGATGTTTCTATCAAACTGGTACAAAAAATATATATGCAAGATGAAGTATTAGATTTTTGATCGACTTTATTATCCCACACACGAAGTGGGTTCTAACCTCCTGCTTTGCAGGCTACTATTAGGAATACCAAATGGTGTTTCGTGTAGGATAGCGTCATCCATGCACGCAGGATGTTTGCGAGACTTTCGGGACGCGTAAAAATACGCGAGACGAACAATATCCCAAACAATTAACGGTTAACTTTATTATAACTTTATTAACGTTTTTGTTAACTTGTCGGTAACGTTTTTATTAACATTTTTGTCAACTCCTGTTTAATATACTGTCCGGGTAACTTCACACGTTATAATGCTTTCATCAGTGTCCGACGAAAGAAAAGGTTATCTTACCGTGGCGAAATTATTTCTCTCGCGTTTAATACCGGTATATAGAAAATTAAGTTACCCCTCATACCTACACACGTAAAAACGCACAAGTTGTAACAAACCTGCAGCAGCCTTGTAGCAAGGCTGTTCCAACAACTTGTCATCAGGATGTGTTCACACTGCTTGTTCCCAGCTTGTTGACAAGTTGTCAACGGCTTGTTGACAACTTGCTACAAGGTTGTTGAGCTCAACAGACTTGTTACAAGTTGTTCCAACAACTTGTTATCTTCTTGCAATTCAACAAGTTGTGCGTGACAATCTTGTAGCAAACTAGCAACGTGATAAAATAACAGCGTTGTTACAACTTGTTGACAAGCTTCCTACAAGTCTGTTGCGAGCACATCTTGTTGACAAGTTGTGAGATTTTTACGTGTGTAAAACCGGTTTAATCAACCTAAATAGAAATTCGGCTTTAACATCCTTGCAAGGGCACAGTTTGTGTATCTCGGTGAAAATGCAACTTCTTTGGAGACCTAAATATTTAAAAGAAAAATATTTTTTTCTATCCTGGCCTCCAAATTGCTATAATTTTCAATAATACATTTTAAAGAGCATGGCTTAATTGGTAGATTAGACTTCCTCTAAGTCTACCTGCTGTCAGAGGGGTTTGTTGAGCACTGGACTAGGAAATCAATTGAAAGGTCGCGGATTCGATTCCCACCGCGGGTAACTGCAATTTGTCAACTTGCCTGGTGTGGAGCCACTCAGAATTGAGTCGTCTAAAATAATTTACCCGAGTTCGAACACTACAATCATTAGATTAAAAAATATTTCTCAAAGCTTTCGTTCCGTTGGTCAGGTGGTATTTTCCACAAACCAAAACAATCATATCTGCCCCCCATGCTGAAGCTGGCTGCAGAGGAGGCTGTTTTGAAATTGTAGTACTTTATTTTTCAGCCAACATCGATGAAGGATGTTCCCACTTGAGAAGAACGTCATTCCTACAACCACCACCTGGGAACTATAAACTGTCTGAAATAACCCCCTACCAGTGCGTAATGATGTGTGCAACTGGTAACAGTAAACTGGCTGGTGTGACCAATGGTGTGTGCGTTTGTCCAGATACTGTGGCAGAAACATCATCAATCTGTAATCAATCTTGTACCGGAGACCCATCTCTCACTTGTGGAGGTTTAACTGGATTGAGAATGTTCAATCTCAGTACACTCCTCAGAAATGAACCTAATCTTCAGTTTACTAGCACACCAACGTTCTTGGAAAAAGCAGAGTACCAGGCGTCAACAGTGACCGAAACAACCAGCTACGGATATCAACTAACGTTCAAAACCACTGGATTTCTTAATGAAGCAAATACTAATCTGATATTTGGGGGACCCTATTCCTACAATTTCACGGCTTGGGGAAGTGATGTAGAACTCACGGTGGTTGTCATTGGTAAGGTTCGCCAGGAATTCAAAAAAATGGTGGATGTGAAAGCACCGCTTACTGTTTCCAACATTAAATGCCCAACTTATGCCACAGTTGGATTACCTATTGAATGTATGGGACAAGTAAATCTCGGCAAAGAAGTTAATATGACATGGTTATTGGATGGATCGTCTGACTCAATCAATCTTGCAGGTTAGTACCCATAATGATGCGTTTTTTGTTGGAAGGATTGAATTGCAGTCCAGCTAAGGAAGTAATGTGAAAACAAAGACATGTACTACATATGGGGAAAAGATGGTGTAACTTTATCACAGACTTATTTTCCCAGATTTTGTAGTAAGTGCTTACAACTCGCTTCTAGGACGTCTGACAGAAATTCTGTGAACACGTAGAGGTTAAATAAAACACTAGGATTTCACAATGCCTTAGTTTCGCTATTATGATTACCATTACGAAGAACCATTGTGAAGGGACGATTTGTTTTTGCCAGGAAATGAAGTGGGTTTAACTGGTAGGTGTTTCCACACGCACGTGCTGTATTTTGCTAGGATTATAGGTGAAATCCAGAAAGGGGGCTGCAGATTCTGCAAAATGTCATAAATCATATACATTTTAATAAGCACAGTTTGATATAAACTTTTTCTACCCACAGTAACCCTGGTTGTAAATCCAATCCAGTCTATATATTTCTGGATTGCAAATATTACTTCCATTTTCCAGATCCAGTAAGTTGGTATATTGGTGATCCCGTGCCACGTTGGATTATATCTGGTCCAGGTGCTGATCTCCCTAATGGGCTTGTCATTTCTTTGACCACTGAAGTCTCTCACTCTGTCATTGTTTACGCTTGGGAACTGAACGTTAATAAATCAGGATCACTTGATATTGTGGTAATTATTAAAGTCTCTGCTTTTTGTTGCGGACCATATTTGGTTCTAAATGGTTTATACACCTCAGAAATCTCAGCAAAAATTTACATATTGCACAATTGACGAAAATTGATTTTTCTTTGCAATTTTGCATTCCGCATCGTTCCTTATTCTCAGCGTTCTCACTCACTCCTATAATTGAGATTGGGCAACCGACAGTCTCAGCTCGTTAGCAAAGTCGAAAGTAATTTTGGGCGGGATGGGGAGAAAACAAAACAAATTGAGATTGCTAAGAGACTAGGAGTAAACGAGAGCATGAGAGATATACAGACATGAAACGCTTGCCAGCAGCAGGAAGTTACACGATAGTTCAACAGAATGAGACCACTAGCTATGTTTGTCTCTCCCTTATACACGTTAGTGAGACCGCTGAGAATAGTACTGCAATTCGCATTATTAATAATTACATATTTACATTAATACAATTAATATTACGGATTTGTAGATGGAAATACGAGTGTGATTTTAACCTACCTGCGGCAGAGGCCAGTTGTCGAGCTATAACCGCACGTTTATGTATAAATATATTAAGGTGAAGCGGCTGAAACCAATGTACGTGTATGGGTAAATATCAGGATTTTGGTCATCTCACTCGATAGAACTACTTATTGAAGGGATTTGTAGTGTGAATAATCGAAAAGGGATAAATGTATAGAAAAGTGTGATAAATGTATAAAAATCACACTCGATTTATTTTAACACAAACTTCGTAGTTTATAAACCTGCGAGTTGTGCCGCCATTTTGTTTATGTGCCGCCATTTTGTTTATTGCATTTATCTGAAGTCACGTGACCACAAATCAGCCAATCACGTTTGGTGTTTACCCTAGCTATATAACAATGAAATTTATTTTCTGTAGGTTCTGAGGCCATTGTGTGATATAGGTAAGACTTACTGTCCAGAAACAAAATCCTGTTGCCTAATGAACAACCAATTTTCATCTTCTGGGCTATGCAATGAAGAAACAGCCTTTTGTGGAACAAGTACTGTCGGTATAAGTTCGGAAAATTGTTCATCCAGTGATGTTAATAACCCAGTGCCTTTGTTCGATACATACTTGCCCATTTATACAACAACATTGAACGTGGATATTGGTTACAACATGGTAGTTTTGTCGCCTGAGAAGAGATTTGAATATCTCCCTGGGGACATCCTGGGTTGGATTAAGACATCATCAGGTGCCACACTTGCTGTAGGTTCAAATCATAGTGAGTATAACGTCTTGGTAACTGTCACATCTTTACCAACTGGCAACATCACTCTCTCTACCATTCAGCGAAACAGTAAACAGACTGGGGCTGTCCTAATTGCCGGCGTTGCTTCAAAACCAACAGCGTTTATAGCGAATATAACTGCACTGAGTACTCCAGGAGTCAAAAATATAACTTTTACCCACCAAACAAGTGAAGAAACCCTCATCCTAAATCGACCAATTTCTGCTTTGCATCCAGTTGGTAATATTTCATTCACGACGGCAAGTAATTCGTGTGTTATCTACGGACCGTTGAATGAAGCGTTCAACGTTTCTATTAATTTTCATGGTGGAACAAACGCCCACGTTATGTGGAAGGCAAACAACATCACAGTGGGATCTTACCCTTACTTAACACTTGGTAACCAGGACGAAACCACTTGGCAACAAAATTTCACATTCTTCAGTATCCGTGAATATCCGTTGATTGTTATGGTGACGAATGGAGTCGGCGGAAAGTTGCTGACCGCAACTGTTATCATTCAAGAAAAGATAACTGGACTAACAGCAACGAAAGTGGACGCCAATAAGGTTGCCTATCAAGGACTCAGTACCCAACTGAATGTTTCATATTCGACCGGAAATAATGTTACGTATAAGTGGTATTTTGGTGATGGTAGCGATACTGTAACTGTAACAGACAACGTAGTTGATCACTCTTATCACAAATTTGGGCTGATTAATACAACAGTTGAAGCAACAAACATGGTATCGTCAGTAAACTATTCGTTCATCGTCAATGTTTCCAATCCAGTTGTCATCATCGTTCCTGCTTATGCCGTGAGCAATGTTTCAACCAACATAACGTGCACACTTGCTGAAAATGTACTTGAAACGTATATCATTGCGCTACAGGTAGATAATGAATCACTGACGGCATCGAACTGTAATACTATAGAGCATGTTTTTACTCCTGGTTTTCGTGATATCCATTGCTATATTCATGCGGCTGTCGTGTTGTATTCCAATACCTCCCTCTTCGTAGTCGAACCCATTACAGGATTGTCAATTTTAGACATACCTCCTCTGGCACTCAATACAACATATGCAGTCAGAGCGAATATATCTGCCGGGAATAATGTGACCTTTGTGTGGCAAGTATTGGAAAAAAAGTATAATGCTTATTTCAACAGTTCATATCCGATAACGTTCAACCAACACGGTCAGATAAGTCTAAACGTGAGTGCATCTAACGCTATTTCGATGAAATCTGCAGAAACAATAGTAACTGTTCAAGAACCAATTGGAAAGTTGAGTGTAAATCCATCAGCTAACCCAGCGAAAACGGATGTCGAAATTTCTTTTGTTATCAGCCAAACAGCAGGAACTGAAGTCAATTACACTGTCAATATAAGCACCAGTGAATATCAAGATTTAGGTCCTACTTCGACCTTCCCTTATACGTTTCCACAAGAAGGGACATATAATATATTTATTTCTGCAATGAATCTGATCAGTTCATCTAATACCACTTACCCAATTACTGCACAAGTACCTGTCAAACGTCGTCCAGAGATCACTTGTCCGTCAATTTCCAAAGATAAAACATGTGTGGTATCAACAACTGAGTTATGGTCGTTTAAAGCAGAAATACCTTACGCTACCAATGTTACATTCGAGTGGAGATGGGGAGATGAAGATGACACTAGAACTGATTATTCTCCCTCTACACCACCATCCAACATCACGTCGACTCAAGCTATATCATTTCCCGATCCTAAGACATTTCATATCACCGTGATTGCAAAAAACAACGTTTGTAACCTTAACAACGTGCTGCATGTCGAAACTCTTGACAACGTGTCCGGCATTACTTTGGAATTTCCACCAGCTGTTGCTGTGAACACAAACTTTACTATCAATGCAAGCATTGCTAAAGGATCCAATGTTACGTATTCGTATGATTTTGGTGATGAAAGAGAAAACATTGTTGCGGACCAAACAGTAAGCTGGAAGTACGAAACAGCTGGTGTTTACCAAATTAAAGGCAATGCAAGCAACCTACTAAGCAATGATGCAACCTCACAAGAGATTATCGTGCAACAGGAAATAACGGGTGTGTTCATAGAGAAAATTGACACTGTAAAGACTAACACGGCTACGGCTATAAAATGGAACGTTAGTGGCGGTACAAATGTTACGAGTAAGTTAAAGTTTGGAGATGCAACTGGTAAAACCGTCAACTACATAGAATGTGAGCTTCATGACCCATCCTCAACGTACAGTTGTAACACAACTCATAGGTGGACTGAGAAGGGTACGTATAAAGTACACATCAATGCCACAAACCTTTTGACAGCCACGAAGGGTGCAAGTATAGATGTTACCGTGCAGGATCCCGTGGAAGGTTTTTCTGTCGCGATTAATTCTTCATCCTCCACTTATTATATGCACGCAGAAATTCCTCTCATTTTTACTCAAACAAAAGGAAGCAGTGTTAAATACCAGATTCATTACAATGATACTGATGGCAGAACAGAGACCACGTCGGATACTAATTTTGATATTAAGTATTACAAGAAAGATAACTATAAACCGTGGTTTTTTGCTTATAACGACATCAGTAACAGTACGAAAACGTATCTAATCCCTGCTGAGATTACAATCGAAACTCCTCGCGAACCTAAAGAAATAATAGATTTGAAAATCTCTGCGAAACCTACAAAGTTTAATACAACAACGAAGTTTGACGTGAGCTACGAAAGCGGAGCTAAATTTGAATGCATTATTGATTTTGGAGATGGTAAATCTGCAGATATATCTGAAGAACTCCTAAATAAAGGTAAGACCCATCATTATAGAACAGCTGATGAATTTACGGCAAAATTGAAGTGCCACAATACTGGCAGAAATCGAAATGATAAGGTGGAGACAACCAAAGTGTTCGTTCATATACCTATAGAAGGATTTAAACTGGATAATTATACCATCAGTGCAGTTTACAAGGATGCAATCAATATACATTTTTCATGGCAGCAAGCTTCTCATATGGAAGTTATCGCCTATGTAAAAAATCAGCTGCATACTGTGTATGCCAGGAAAGAAGACATAGATTATGATGGTCATTCAGGAATAATCGTATTGCACAGTGGCTATTTTCCTTCACCTGGTCGCTATATCATACATGTCAATGCTTCAAATAAAGTATCATCCCTCGATAAACCCGCAGAAGTAACTGTAAATATTTTTGAAAAAATATCTGGTGCAGAAGTTCTTGTCAATCCTTTTGTCGCTGTTTCATATGGTTTAAGAGCATACCTTTCAATTGAAAAAGGAAGTGACATGAATGTAACTTGGAATTTTGGCGATCGCAGTCCTGATAAGATTACCAGCTGTACTTGGAAAAAATCGTGTTATTTCGATTACAAGTATAATAAGACGGGAAGTTACACGATAACAGCTACAGCAGAGAACATGATAAGTTCTGATGCAGGTAGTGGAAATGTTACAATCGAATATCCCATCCTTGGTTGGGATTTTAAGCCTAAAGGTGTAAGTAAGGCAGGTGAACTTAGTCAATTGAATCTGGAATATAACAAATCCTTTCCTTTTCCAACCGATGCTACATATCAGATTACCTATGACGAAAAAAACACAAAAGAGAAACTGACTTCCGAACTGACTGGAAGTGGCTCACGAATAGTAAATCTCACTTATAAAGAGGCTGGATGCTACCATGTTAAAGTTAAAATGGAAAATAAAGTAAGCACTGTGGTCATAAAAACTAAGGTCAAGGTTCGAGGTAGTTATACGAAGGCGAAAATCACACCCACGAGTTTAAAGGGAGATGGCAATTCTTCACCGTTGCCTTTGGAATATCCTGTGGAGTTCAAATCAAACATCAAGAACAGTTGTCTGAAATATAACTGGACAATTAAGGATAATGATTCCAAGGTTTTGACTGTAAACTTTCTTAATAGTTTTAAATACACGTTTAACGTTTCTGGCGTATACAAAGTCAATTTCATTGCATATGATGACAGCGAGAATATGAACGATAATATCTCAGCTGAAAAAGACATAAATGTCGAGAAATCAGTAACTGGATTGTTTCTATCCAGCGATGGAATTGGCGAGGTAAACAAAACTGTTAACTTTATTCTACTTTGGGCAACTCTTGGTACTTCCACTACGTTTACAGTTCATTATGACAGCAATACAGAAGAGAAACTTAATCTTATTGGCAAAACAAAAGACTTTTCGAAATATAGCAGTAAACTCCCTTTTGATCCAAAGGGTCTTGAAGGCATAATATTTTCCCACAACTTTTCCCAAATCCGTGAATATCAAGTGAAAGTGAAAGTTAACTCTGGACAAAACCTTACAACTCAGGTATTTATCTCTGAAGCACCATGCCCGTTGCCAGATATTACTCTCACTGGTGGAAGCAAGGATGCAAACAGGGCACCTCAAGTACCATACGAGATTCAGTATACACTTTTTTCCACGGTTGCTGCTACAAGTCGCACTGAATGCAATGCAATTCTCTTCAAATGGAGGGTTTTTACAGCTGATGAATATCTTTTAAAGACAACAGGATCGTCTGTAATCCCGCCAGATGACAATAGAGAGATCGAGTAAGTATGCAGTGATAAATCGAGTTAAGCTGCTAGTGAAGATTATTTGATAGGTGATTAGGTGACCAGAGCCGCCGAGAGGGCCCTACGACGTCATAAATGTGAGAGGGTAGAAGCGCTGTGACAACGCAGCTGGGATTTATATTCTCAGTTAAGCGATCTTGCATCGAGAAACTTTAACGCCTTTGTTGCTTTGGGGGCCCTTTTGAGCTGGGGACCCTCCCCTCTCAGCGGCCCTGTTGACCTCGTGTGCTTGAAAACTCATATAAATATAGTTTTGGTTGATTCTCTCTTGTTGTATGAGGAACTGGGCAATCCGATTTTCCTTCTTCACCTAAGGTTAACCCTTTTACCTTAGCTGTGCGCTGTAGTCAGACGTGGGCCCTAACGGCAGCCAGTGGCGACCTGGTAAGGGTCCGACTCGGCCACGTTTGAGCTGCGCTCTTCGTAATTCAGTAATCAGCTGCAAGATAATATGACTGGCATCCCTATACCTTCTTTATCAGAATACAAGGATTTGTAATAGATTATGGTTGAGTGTAAACTAATATTTTATTGATGTGTGCAAATCCTAAATGATAACACATTAGCAGTGAACAACAGCAGTGCTAACTCACCCATGTTTTGATAAACGTTAAAAATATTTTCCTATAGATAGTTGTTTTATAATTTTCGATTTTAGAATGACAAATTGTCCTTCGTGCCCTTAAGGTTTCAAAATAATATGAAACAGTGTGATAAAAACAATAAACCACAGTATATGTTTTAAAACTGGTATAGAGGATGTAACAATCTGTCCAGAAAAGCAAGGTTTCAAGCAATTTTTTAATCAAATACTATTCAACGCTGTCTGCGCTGAGACCCAACATTTGAGATGTTCTCTAAATTAACGATTACAATATGTCTCTCTTTCTAGCTATAATAAATTTAATGTTCAAAGAAATCAATCTACACTGGCCATTCCCAGGAAGGCCTTGTATCCACGACTGTATATATTTCAGCTAAATGCGAACTTGAAAGATGCAACATCCCAACATATTGTTTATGTAAAGATCAAAAGACCGCCTTTGATTGTGGAAATTGAAGGTGGTAGTGCACGATCCATCGCTTGGAATGCACGATTTTTCTTGAATGCAAACCTCTCAATGGACCCATTGACAGGAAATAATGATAAACTATCTTTTGAATGGCGATGCAAATTAAAAAAAGCACAAGAGAAAGGTGGTTGTTTTGGTGCTGGGGAGTCATTAAGTGCCAAACAAGGTGAAAGAATAACTGAGTTTCGGAAAAAACTTCTTTTGGAAGGACTAACATACCAGTTTACAGTGAAGGTTTGTGATCCTGATGATGATGAGACATGTGGTTCCTATACTCAAGAAATCAATGCAATACCTGGAAAACCTCCACAACTTAAACTCAAGTAATTCACGTATAAATATCATTATTGCTCATTAAACATGCCTATATGATAAAAAGGAGCGATTATAGAATATCTGCCCACTTTTTGTTGTTCATTTTAACGTACAAAACAATATAGGAATTATTTTAAAACAGTTTATGGATGGAATGAAAATGTGTTGTTTCTATTATATTTAACAACGGTTTTGGAAGAACTAAATGACTATTTTTGAGCAAATTATTAAGGCCGTCGGAAGCGGGGGGGGGGGGACCAATAATTCCATTTGTATATGCAACACACACAAAGAACTAGAAAAGTACGAAAGCAATTCAGATTTATTTAGGTTTATTCTTGAGCCCCCCTCCCCCCCCTCCCCCCCACAATATTGATTTACTTCTGACAGCCTTAAATTATTAATACAAGGGATAAATTAAGTGTAAATTTTAAATATTCTGCGTTTTTTAAAAAACACCAATAACACTCGTTTTCTTATATTATTTCAAATAACATTGTCTATCATTGTCTTGCAGGTGCGTTTCCAATTGTGCTCCGAAGATAAATCCAGATGCCCGTCTGTCAATCACGTCTGACTGTACTAGTAACTGCGAGGGACTTAAATATAAATGGACATTGGACAATGCTACTTCATCTGAAACTTCAGAAAATATATGGCCGAACAAGACACTAACCGAAAAAGATTCTGCAAGTTTAGTGATCAGGGCTGGGACATTTGAGGAGAATCAAGTATATATCTTCAAACTTACTGTGACAAACGATCATGGTATGTACACATAATTCAAACTTTACCATCCTATGAATTCCTGAAATTCTGAGTAAAAAATTCCATATGTTTAGAAACATTTCCTTAAATTTGGGGCAGAGTCTAGAACATTTCAGAGTCTTACCTCAGAATTGCTTTTTGAGCCATAATACAACAACCAAGAAAGAATATATAGTTTTAATCCATGTTTATTAGGAAATCAACCAAAAATGGTGTCTGAGTTATTACGTAATTGCAAAGTGCCCGTTGCCGTTGAAGGAATTTTATTTTTAATATTTGCGGGATTAGGTTCCTAACCTTTTCCCCTAGCAAATTTTGATTGGCTATTTCATGGGAATTTCCAAATTGGCTATTTCCTGCCAATTTTACCATGACTAAGGAGAACATTACACAGCTGTCGGCATTTTTCCATTCAAGTAATTAATATTCAAAGAAAATTCTGATGCCTTTAACCAATCAGAATCAACTAAAATTGACCAAAATAATATTAGCCTGCAAACATAATTATCATGCACGCTGTATAACAGGTAAAGCCAGCCGTGTGTGTTATGACGTCTTCTGACAACGGAGAGATGGGATTTATTTGAAGAGGCTTAACCACAGAATAGAGACCATACATCATCTAGACAACTCAGCCAAAAAAGCGTAACCGTCGCCACGCCATGATTCGTCATCAAAATGCACTACCATGTTCCTAGCCAGTCACCAGTGCACTTATGGGAGCCTCCTGAACTTCCGCCATTTTGAATTTTTTCAGGGGAATAAATGCCTCTCATAACCGCACTGGTTAGGAACATGGCGACAGCATTGCAACGGGTACGCTTTAATCATAGTAAAACCAAGAAGTCGACCTTTTGTAAGGTCTCTCGTATCGAAAGGTTTTGGAAAGAGATTTATACGCCATTTGACCACAGAGACATACAGAGACGTAACTGACCGTTGTAAACACTGCGGAAGCTTACGTTTTCATGTACCCACTTTTTTTCAGGCGACCGGCCGAAAAATGATCAACTGCGCGTGCTCAGAAAGTTTAAAGTAAGTCGTCATCAGGTCGTCATCCAATCAGATGCATGCATCTAGTAACTTGCCGAGCATGCGCACAAAAAAAGTGGGTACACTAGTTACGTCTCTGTATGTCTCTACTTTGTGATTTGACGTGCTCTATGATCGATATAAAACAACCCACAGCATTGATTCCACAAGTGTCCCAGGCTTGGGTTTATAAAATAATTTTTGAAACAAAATTTACTTACCGAACCATTTGTTTGCTGAGTTAATAATTTCTGCAACTTCTTGCTTGGTGGTTGCGGCCGCTTCTGAATAACAAATCGTAGAGAATGTCAACTCCGCAAGGGAGAAATGGAAAGGAAGTACAAACAACCAGCTAGGCAAGTAAATTTTGCTTAAAATGTTTTTCATCGTATATTTTTTTTACTATTAAATACTTTACTTTACCCACAATTTGTCCGCTGTATTCGTTTTGTTGCTTTTGAGAGTGCTGTGATTGTGTAGACGATATTACGTCACCGTGCTGATGTCCCTAGATCATAATAGGCATATCTCTTGACCAATAAAATCACTTGAAATCTTTACGTCAAAACGTGAATAATGATATTTTAGAGAAGACTGGCTTCGTGTCGTATAAAGTGGAAACAAACGCTCCACCTCAGCCAGGCAAGTGTGACTTCATGCCCAAGAGTGGAGTGTCGTTGGAGACAAAGTTCAGGTTCAGCTGCTATGACTGGAAAGACGATGCGACAGATCCTGATGCAATTCTTTTTTATAAAGTATTCTACTCCCTTGGTGACAAACAAAACTATCTGTTGTATCATGGACCCAAGAGTAATGTGTCTGATCTGCTACTTCCTGCCGGCCCCGAAAAGTTCAACCATAGTTTCAACTTGTCTGTCAATGTGGAAGATGCGTTTGGGGCTTACAAATCAGAGCTTTTTACAATTAAGGTATACTTTTACTAAGTTTTATTGGTTTAGTGATTTTCTTTCCACAAGTTAATATTTATGAGAGGGGATGCTGCACAACAGTGTTATTTACAATAAGTATATCAGTTCTGCAGTTAATAGGTACTGGATCTCAAGCAAATAAACTTATATAATAACAACTGTATAAAAATCCCATTTAACACTTACAACCCAACTTCTACGTTGCGAACTGCCGCCAAAAAAAGTTAAACAATTCACATTTACAAATCATTTCACAAACAAAAAAAACCTGACTCAGATGATCCGGAACCCACCCTTGACCCCGTGCTTACAATCGTCCACAAAATATTTGAGACAAACCCCCCTCCCCCATTTCAATGTTTCTTTGTGCTGTAACATTGTTTAGTTAAAATACCATGCATTAGATTTCGGCTGCCAATGGGACAGTTGCATGCGGGTCAGACTCTGGTGTCACGCATATTTCTTTCGAAAAAATGATAATAGCATTTCAACATTGAAATAGGGGGAAGGGGGGAGTGGATTTCAAAAGTCTCAGTATATCTTGTGGACGATTCTAACAGTGTGAGAAAAAAATATGAAAAAAAACACATAATCTGTGGTAGTCATATCTAATAGACCTTTTTTCATAATAACCCAAAACCCACTAGACACTAAAGCAATGAAGGTTGAAATTTTAGCAACAATTCGCAATGTAAATGATGTTACATGTAATTTAATTGGCTGAAAAAAATATGCATTTCGAATTGCGGTGCTCAAATGAAGTTAGGCTTTTTGTTGTCGGTGCGTGAGCTGGTTAGTCTGCTAGTTTGTTCGGAATCATAAGCACTTGTGATATACTTGTTTGAGCCTTAAGCCGCCAATGTGCTGTTTTGCGCATGCTCCAGCACATTGTAGTGCACCCATATGAGTGCACCGCACTGTAGTGCTATGTCGATGTTTGTTGTCAGGGGGCGGCACTATGCCGTGTCAAAGCCATTCTTGAATGTGGTCTAAGCGCTGACAGTCGTTGTTCGGGATGTTGAAAAATTAACTGAATGTATAGGTGTTGCCATCAGAATGCTCGCTTAATCTGAATTTGTCAGAAACAGTTTTAAATCTACCTGGAAAATACCCAATTTGTGAACAACTTCCATTTCAGTATACAGTATAATTTCATCAGTATTAAAATGGATGCTTTCAAATCATTGCCTAAAGCCCGACCGTCTATGTATTGTATTTTCGTGTTTAATTTGCTCCTACATTTTCACAGATGTCTCAGATCCATATTGCTTATGTTCATATATTTTCATGCACAATCATACTTGTCAATCAAAAATTATTTTAATTAATTGAACTTTGTTTACTTTTTACGCAAACTATAATACATATAAACACATCCTATTCAACGCGTGACAACAACTAGTCTCCTACGCAGCCTGTCCGAGGTTTTCACCCTGACAACATTCGCAAATCGCCTAGACAACATCAAAACTGGCCTTGACAACATACTGTATATCACGTGACGACAAAACGTTCGTTTGAGCGTTCAAACATTTCGACAAAACAATTGGCATTCTAACGTCGAGTGAAAATCGCAGTGTTTGAAATTACTAATGATACTGTACAAATGAAATTTTATCCTGAAGGTCTTACCGCGGAATGTAAGCTTAGATGACCTCAAGAATTCTACGTACGACGTTAAGAAGCTGATTGGTTCAGGTGATATTCAAGCAGCCAATCGGCTAGCGATTGGACTTATTCAAGGATTACGCAGCCGAGGAAATGCTACAAAAGAATCCGAAGAGGAAAAGGAAGAAAAGACGGAGGTAAAGTTTAAAAATGGATTTAAGAAAGGGGCTTATTTATCTCAGGCAGGTTTGAGAGGGGTGGTTATTTGAGGAAGGAGAGAGGGATTGATAGAGTGTTTCATGTAATATTTTAAATCCGACTATGCGGACTGGACTAGATTTCAAGTTCGCGCAACGTGATCACTGGTCCGCGCAATGTGATCAAGTCCGCGCAGTGGCGCCGTGACCGGGGGGGGGGGGCAAGGCATCCCCCCCCTATTGTTGAGACCTTGTTATGTTATCCGCGGAATCTTCGTGGTCAAGCACGGTACCTGCATATACGAGCGGGAATTTTACTTCACTTTGTTGTTTGACAATGCGAAACATGTTTGAATAAAATAATATATAGATGAAATATCGGAAATCGGACTCAGTTTACGTTTTCCCAATATAAGTTTATAGAATAGTCCATATTTAATTCAATATGATTTCGTATATTATTTATGTCGGAAAAATTGTGTTTGTCGAGAAAATGCTGCCCTTGCCCCCCCCCCCCCTAAAGCATGGGGCCCACGACGCCCCTGTGGCCACGCAATTTGATCAAGCCCGAAGCGAAGCCGAGGACTGGATCAAAATGCGAGGAAAATGACATCTCATACGAATAAATTACTACTTAAACGGAGATGGATTAATTTTGATCCAGTCCAAGGACTGAATTCATTTTGATCCAGTCCAGGGATTGAATCAATGTGCTTCACCAGGTATGCAGTGTTATCATGTGAGCAAAATAAAGCAATATGGTAGGCTAACTTACTCATGAATTATTAATGATGTTTGAGATTGATTTCGCCGAAATGCAGTACGTCGTACGCTAACAGGTATATGATATGACATAAAATATAGGTTAAGTTTTAAGATACGACGGTTCCGATTTACGAGCACATGTAGCGTCGTTTTGTGTAAGTAATTTTTGTCGATGTCTACAGTTTTCGCCCGATAGACTAGGAATTAACGTGAACAGAATCACCAGTCAAAATCAAATTCCTAAGCAAAATAACCCTACCCGTACTCATAAGTCGGAATTGGGGTATCTTGTAGTTATCTTTTGTCGAAAACGTTGAATTGTGATTCACTAAGTCCGTGGTATAACAGTGCGTTTTGAGGTTTTAATTTATTTTAAAATTATTTACCTTCAACTCTTCTTGATCGTGTTGGGAATGGTAAATTGAAAATATGGTAAAATAATTAAGTACACGTTTCTTTAAAGTGAAGTGAGTGGGGGGGGGGGGGGGGGGGGGGGGGGGGGCGGTGATCGAAGGGTTAAAAATTGTGCAGTATTTGAAGAGTCTACAACTCACGCTTGGGCTTTTCGAAGACGGAGAATTTCTAGATTCCAACGTGAAACAAATCTTGTATTATATTCAATGTATTCCTCTACTCATCTTATGTTATTTACTCCATTTTAGATATTTAAAAGTATCGTGAAAAATATTGCTGAAAATTTGCCTCAGGATCTAGATTCAATGAGGCAAAGTATTGAGACTGTTGTAGCTGCAGTTTCTGTACAGGGAGATGATGTACCAGAAGACACTCAGGTTTGTTAAAGGTCATGCTAATTATAACCAGGGACACCGAGAGGCTAATTAGAGACCTTACGATGTGGGACGGCAACGTGACGACGACGGCTATTCATACAATGAGATTCAGAATTTTTAAGAAAAAAAATGAATAATTAATATCCTACAGGAGTTTGAGACGTCATGCATGGTCTGTTTACAACGGGAAACTACAGACCTTTACGTCTTGGATACAACGCCTGCATTTCAAGACGCGAGAAGTGATACTTGCGGCAAATTAGCTCAGTACCACAGTGAAACTTTCTAAACAGTGAAGCCACTATTTCAAGCTAACCAAACAATTTTAAATCGATACGATCAATAATAGTCTATAAATTTCTTTACAACCGCTAATGATTTTATTCTGGCCGTCGTCGTTGCGTTGCCGTTCTATACATCGTAAGGTCTCTATTGTAAAACGGGAGAAGCGGTGTTTTACAATATATATTTAACAATTATACCATGTCCATGAGCTCGAGTCGTATATGAGCTGATAGCCGACGAGGTGCATAGCACCGAGTCGGCTATCAGCCATATACGACGAGAGCGAATGGTATAATTGTTTTATAATATAGTCTGATAGCCATTAACTGAAGCAATTAATTATCCTCTGTTACAATGTCTTGACAATTTGTTCGGCCAAAAACCGCTTGGCCTTGAAAATTTGAAATATTTTTATTTTACAACTTGAAGACGAAGTGAAAGAAATGGTTTTAGAACTGGTATATCTCACAGAAAAGCTCAGATATATTATACAGATGTTTGGTAGTATAGTAAGTGCTTGTTGACTGCAAATTCATTTGTCTTTCGTTGCAAACTTTTCTGAAAAAATTATATTCTCAATGAACATGTTTTTTTCGCTGTTGTTTTCGACGGTATTAATTCTTTACTAAAAAACTTGTATTCAAACTAATTTCTATGTAATAAATATATTTTGCTAACCTGTCAAATTTTTTTTGAGAGTTTTTCCTTGTGCTATTATCAAAGCGAATATTTTCCTTTTTTCTGCTTCGCAAAACTCATGGGGCCGGTTGTTCAAAGCTGGATTAGCTTAACCCTAGGTTAACCTAAAATTCAAAGCAAACTTCATGACAGCTTATCTATAAATTTGGAAATATTTCTTCAGAGATCTTGTCTGGATCGATAGGAGTTTACTTCACTGAAGTTTTGAAATAAACAGACGTGCAGAAACACGCAAACTAAAACAGCAGGTTAAATTTTAACCCAGGGTTAGCGCTAACCCACCTTTGAATAACCGGCCCATGTAGTTTTTGGACCGCCATCTTGTTTTTCGCTACTCACCGTATATCAGTGAACTCTATACATGGAAGGCTGACTTCAGTCATTGACGTAATCAAAAAGTGAAGCCAAAGATGGCGGATTTTGAAGCCATTCTTGCGCGTCATTCTCAGTCCCCTTACCCGCGCGGCCAAACAATTTTTGTATTTTCATGGCGGGAAGGATCAGGCAAATATTAGCACGTTTCACCGCCCGTGTTTTACTACGCCCTGCGGGAAGTGATGGGTCCGCGACTCTCGGGTTGTGTTTTTCTTCATTTTAGAAGAGCAAAAAAGGAAATAAACTTTATTTATTTCATGTAAACCTGATTTCCTTCATCTAATCGATCTGTCTACTTTTTGCATTTTCTACTATCTGCATTTTCCCACTGTATGTGTGAGTAAATCTGTATTTTTCGTTGCGAATTCAACAACTAGTTTCAAACTTTTTTTGTTTTTTTTTATATAAAATCTGTATTTTTATAAATTGGGAATTTATTTTTGCTTTGGTTGTTTTGTTTTCTTGTTTCTATGGTGCTTTTCAGTTTTCACACCATTATTTAGCTTATTTTAGTCCGTTTTCCTGACCTAAAACTGCTTTTTAACTGCAGTTTTCGAGGCAGTTTTTAGCCAATTTAATTCCATACATGTAAGAAAATTTTGGGTTTTTTATTTTTTATTTAATAAAATCACTTTGATGATTGCCTTTTAAACTTAAACTGTTCATTTTAATGAGTTATTTATGTGTGTGAAACCCTTGTCGATAGGGGCAATAGAGATATTTTGAAAGATTGAGTGACATTTGTGTTTTGTTTTGTCACTCTTTGTCATTTACAAAAACAGCAATCCCGCGCTATTTTGCTTTCTTTCCACTCAAATATCGCATCTTTTAAATAAATAATAATCAAAATTTAGAACTGAACCCAAACAAAACACTAGAATTCAACTTTTCATTCAAATTTCGTATGTTTTTCACCAAATTTTTGCTCGGAGGAGGCATCGAGTTTAAAAATTGGGAACGCAGCTAATGGGGGGTAAATTCAAGTCCCGGATATAAAATCGTGCTCTCATTGGCTGATTTGAAACTCGTGACCAATGGGAACACAAATACACATCCGGGACTTGAATTTGCCCCCCAATAGTCGCGTTCCCTTTTTTTTACTGAATTAAGATTACAATGCCTCCTCTAGTGTTATTTATAATCTCTATGCTCGAGTCAGCCTTCCATGTTATATAGTTCAGTGCTGTATATGAGCTGTTATTATACACTCACGCGCGCACTTAACCAATCAGTAATCGTTGAGAGGGTCACGTGCCGATCCAATATTTTACGATATTGGACAGGAACCTATTGGACAGTTGCGAATTGTGGCTTTTTTCATGGTTTTTCAACCCTTTTCAGATGTTTTGTCAATTTCAAACGTACGACAAACGATATGGCAGAATAATGAAAAGAATTAGGGACATTAATACAGTTTTTTCTACCAGTTTTGTTTAAAATTATAAAAGCGCGGGAAAATTTGCCTTCGCGAAATTTATTTGTTTGCAACAGCCTAGAAGTTAGTAATATTATTTTTTTCGTTAAAATTAGGTCAAATATTTAGATCTTTAAACATACATGGAATTGAGTTTATTTATGCACACATATTTGTAAAAACAGGTTTAACTTTTTTTAGTTATTTAAGCAAATTCGCCGCCGATATATGTAGTAACGTTGTCGTTGTATTAGTCTCGCTGTATTTACTTTATAGCGTATTGACAATTTTGTTATAGAATTGTTTTGTTCGATATAATAAAACTCCTATTGGATTCATCTTCGCCCATGATGGACGATTTTTCTCCTATCCGAATGATTGTAGCAAGAAAAACTGAACCGTAATTCATCTTTTGAGTCTTAAATTATCTCTAAACTCGATCAACACATTAAAATAGCCGTTTTTTGTTATACCTGCCCGTCAACTGAAATCCCAAAATTACGTCATTGCAAACCAAGAATATTAGGTTCAGTGCATGAGACTCTGCGACGTTTGACGCGAGCCTATGTATTATAACAAAGACATGTGTATAATGAAATGGATTTGTTATTTTTTAGGAAGAAGCGCTTAAAGCTTTCTTGAAAACTTCTCAGAAATTACTATCTGAGGCCAAGGAGGATCTTGGTATGAATATAATTGAAGAAGTTTCTAACAACGTGATGACAGGCATTGGTGATACACTTAAAGCATCATCAACGACTCAAACCAATATACGTGGAAGACAACAAAGAAATGAAACTGTTCCTGCAGGAGAAACAAAAAAGGTAGTATTAAAAGAAGAAGTATTTTAGTTCTTCCCGTGATAGAAGTAATATTTCAAACTCGAAAATGAGAACTGAACGGACTTCAACGGAGCAGTTTATTGCAGTTTGTTAGAGCTAACTGTAAGGACTTAAAATCAGTTCCAGTGCGAGATTTTGAAATGATATTTCATATTCGTTGTAGGCATATGGTGGAAACGTCAATATGACGGTCAAATATCATATTGACATCTATTCTATGCTACGCTTCTTTAAGCTCACGCGGACATGTTTTGTCTTTTAAGTTGACACCGATTAAAAATTAAGAATGCTAGCTCGGCAAAATTTACTTACACCCCCCCCCCCTCCCCATTTAGAAAGGT